TGTATCTAAGCACAGCTTCCCAACAATTCCTTTAAAAACCCACCTCCAGAGCAGATCACTGCCTTAACGGAGGTAACTATCTTATGTTCTCCTGCACATACCATAGGAGGCAGCTGTGAGGAGGTTTGTCTGCTGTTTTATTTTACTGTAATATAGTTAAGATTTGAAATGTTCACCTCTGTAACCCAAGTGATAACTACCTATATTCTTCCATACAGGAATGCTAGTTTATTCTGTCTCGACTGTTATTAAATTCTAAGCATTTTGAATTCCACTTATCACTGTAGTTATAAGAGTAACAGGCTTAAAACTCTCCATTTTTTAAAAAAATATCAATGTAAAACATATGCTGGCAACTGTTTTTAATGTCAGCTACTCAAGTAGCTACAGTTAGGAAACAGCAACCTGTAGTCAAATAATCTTTATCACTGAAATCAGAGGCAACTTGTGCTCTATTTTCTGGCTAGAAAGCAAGTGCCAGGCAGGTTGAATGGAATTAATAAAAGTTAACTTGAATATATATTGTGCATCTTTCTTAAACAAAAGCATGTAGAAATTGGAGGGATTATAATGCCCCATACTCTGCTGCTTACAAAATTTTGTCTAGGGAATTTCATTGTTTAGCAACACAGAAGTACAAAGCATATACATTTTGAGCACAGATGGCTTCCTAACTGAGCACTCACTTGTTTTCATTACTGTGCTCTAATATCGCAAATCTTCCATATTTATTATGTTAAGCTGCTAATGTGTCAGACAAGTCACCTTCCTCTGAATATACCAGGATTTACTTCCAAGTGCAATGCATATGGAGTGAGCAAGACCACATACTTCCTTTCTCCACGTTAACAGCAATTCAAGCAACTTAAAACAATATGTAAACATCTAATAGCAGCAAATGGTTATGTATCTTCTTAAAGGCTACTGTAGGCAGCATTTGGAAACACTGTCAGTAGAAACATCCATGGAAAAAAAAACCCTTTAAGTTTTTCTTCCACAAGAAAGACAGACAGTTTAACAGTTCATTTGGAATACTGAGCAAGAAACACATAAATATTCTCACTACAAAAGCAGGACAGTTTGGAAGAGTGGTGATCTCTGTGCAAAAGCTGGGAAGGTCCTGAAATATTTATCATGAAAACTCACATTTCTCTTAAAGTACCAGAAGAACTAAAGAAGTGAATTGCAGAAAGCATTAGGCAACCGTACCGAAGTTACAGAAGCTCCCCTGATTATCTCTGACATTTATAGCATTAATAAAGGATTTGTTTGTTATATTGCCGTAACACTATTCTGTATAGACCTTTAGAATGAAGATTGCTGTGGAATGCATAGTGCCTTTTACAGGAAATAAACTAAGCATAACTTTAAGCCCTGAGTTTGTCCAAATGTGTAGAGAAATGACTGCATTCACCTCATCTGACAGGTAGGTTTAAAAATATATTTAAGTTCAAAGGATTGCCCAATTTATTACAACCGTTGAAAAGACGAAGTTTAAAAGCCAAAGTAAAGTTTTGTGTTAGTACTGTTTTTAAAGCTTGTCTTAAAGCTGCTCCAGCTTTGTGCAGGCCAACAGTGTAAGTAACTGCTTCTGTACCCTCCCTCACCTTCGGGTATACTTGGTGTCTTCCCCTTGCTGCTCTAGGATTCAATGTGTAATTATTACATAAGGGAAACGGGTAAACAGGCAGTGGAATGTGGGGCAATGGCTTTATGAGCTATAGATTACTTGTGCAACCACTTCTTCTGACACAGGAAGACAGAGACTAGTATTTGCCACTCTTCTGACGTAGATCAAATCACATTATACCTCATGGTGATACTGTAACAACAAAATATGAAGTGACAGTACAGAAAACAGAGCTATTTCACACCTGTTCTTTCAGCTGGCATGAAAAGGAAGAAAACTTACTCATTCTGTTCAACTTGCAGTTAAAGACTATTCTAACTGGGTGGACATCTTGCATGTGCTAATCTGGTTCACAGGCACTGAAGCCCACCTATGTAAACATCATTCTACCAGAAAGCTGCTTGTCCTTTCAAAACAATTCTATTCTCAGCATTCTTGCCTAATTTAGCCTTACTAAGTGCTCTGCCCATAACCTACTTTGTGTGACTCGTCTTGCATTTTGACCTGGGTCTTTTATAATTTAGACTAAGCTCTTGCATTCAATTTTGTTCCCTCTGTAAAGTATCACTCTAGTGATACATTAAATTGTTTCAACTTGCCTGTTATTGAAGTTTTGCTGAAAACAACAGCGACTGCTTGTTCACTTAAGACATTTTCAATCTTGTACACCACCATAAAATGTTCACAATGCTGTGAGCAGGTCAAAGAAAAAGCACATCAACACCCCTCGACAAGGTGTAATGAAATGTTTAAAACATATCTGACCTTTCAAAAGGACACACACCCTGTTAAAATCTACTGACCTATGAACATTACTATAGCACTTAAGGTCCAACAGCAATTCTGCCTCTTCTTGCCTCTAGCTGAGACTGGCCTTTCAGGCCTTCTCCTCTGGATGTGCAAAACAGAGGCATATTTGCTACTGGGGGCCTGAAGAGTTAAAGAGGGCTGAGAAGGGCCTAAGCTTTACCTTTTTAGTCCCTGAATTATCTGTGCTGTTTTGATACAGACACAAAGGTGGGGTGATCCTGCACCCTACAGGTGCCTGAGCTATGGATGCAGTGTATCCCCTGTGCACATGGCAATCCTCCAGGACTCCCTGAAACCAGAGTGCTGTACAGACCCCAAAAATACAGTTGCTTGTCAGACTGGATGGATGAAGCATTCTACAGCCTAGAATGCCACCAACAATCCATGCTGCAGCCCACTTTCCTTTTTTTTCTTCTTACCCCTTCAATGGACTTGACTCTTAGAAGTTGACAGTCATTCAACTTAACTTGAATTGTACAATTTTAATCTAAACTTTTTTAATTATTTTGGGTGCAAGTGATACTTATGTTACGGTTTTCTTTGTAATCTGGAAGGCCTACTTACTATGTTGAAATAAAAGACGTGTATTTAAACATCTCCCTAAACCGTGTGGTTTAGGATGCTTTTGATGAAGTACAGGACCAATTTAAAATATTGGCTATGCAGAAGTGGTTTTGTTCAATGGCTGCCACAGGAAGAAAGAAACAAAACTTACAATTCCAGCATCCCTGTAAGCTTCTGCTTCTTGACAAGCTTGATCAACGATCTGGGTCAATGGAAGAGAACTTCTTGGTGTCCCTGCAAGAATAACGCTGCATACTCCAGGGCACAAATCAAACACGTGGGCAGGGACAGCTCTTGGGTAGGACAGCTACAGGGATTGGCAGGCTGAAATAGGGAGATACAGGGTAAACTTGCTAAAAGGCTGCTCTGTCTCCTTGTGACACACCTTAGTGACTTCTCTTTCCTTAGCTGAACTTGGCACATCTGCTGTAACCATTTAGCTCCTAAATCTAATTCATAAACTTGAGGAACGTCTGTTATAATCCCTTACTGCACCAGGTCTGCTCTTAGCTTGCTATTCGTGCACTTATTATAATTTATCCTGCATTAATGATGTTCTGGACAGTACAACCTATGGGCAAGACCAACCCCTAGGTCTGCAGAATACCTGTGCTAAACACCAGTGAGTTTAAAATCAGTTAAAGCTATCTTGAATCTGCAAGGCTGATCATATCTGACCTTCAGCATTAAGTGTTCCATAGCAGAAATGAACACACATGGATTCTGTTGGAGTTCCATGAGTTTCCATTAAGATCAACTCCAAAGTAGCTTCTGATATTTAGGATCCTAAATCAGGCAGTGAGAGTCTGAAATGGGGGCTGTGCTGAGCCCTCTGACAGCTTTGTCAGATTTCACAGCATGGGGAAGGCTGGACAGTGCCTGGGGGCTGCTGCTGGGAAAACGTGGATCAGGGTGAGCTCTGGGCACCAGCCCGTCAAGGTTGCTGTGATCAGCTCCACTCCCTCTGAGTCCTTGGAAAGGGGGACGAGAAGGCCAGCAAAGACCTGCCTGCTGTCCGAGCTTCCCACTGTGGCAGCTCTATCCAACCTGCACCCTGTCCTAATGCTTATTCGTGCAATTCTCTAACCACTGCTTCTTAAAACACTGAACTCATCAACACCAAACCTTGGTTTTCTCAGCCTGGCTCCTTACGGGGAACCGTCTCCTGCCTTCTTTTACCTCTGAAACGGGGAGATGCCCAAACTTAGGGCACTTCACGAGCGGCCCGTGGCGGCGGCTGAAGGGACTGAAGAGGCTCCCAGCGGCGCGGGCTTTACTCGGGGAGGCCGCAGCCGAGCCAAGGGGCGACACCGGCGAGTGGGGACCCGGTCCTGGTCCCGCTTCGGGTCCGGGTGCGGATCCCGCCGGCCGTGCCGCCCGCCCAGCGCTTACCTGGCAGCGCTGCCACGTGCACCATCCCAATGACCGCCGCCTTCAGCCGCCCGAACAGCGCGGGCCGCCGCACGATCTGCGGGGAGGGGAAGGAGGGCGTGAGCGGAGCGGGGCGGGGCCGGGACCGGGACCGGGGTCGGGGTCGGGGTCGGGATTGGGATCAGGATCGGGATTGGGATCCCGGTCTCGTCCCCGCTACGCTCACCCCGGACATGTCCCACGTGCCGCGCCCTCCGCTTCCGGGTGCCCGTCGGGGCCCCGCCCCCTGGCCCGCCCTCTTCCGACACAGGCCCCGCCCTTCTCGTCCTTATCCCCGCCCCTTTCTCCCCGGCCTCGCCCCTCTCGTTCTTGGCCCCGCCCCTTTGGGCCGCGGCCCCGCCCCTCCAGCCCCGCGCGCGGGCCCCGCGCCTCTCCCGCGCGCGGGCGGCCCCGCCCCGCCCGTCCCCGCGCGCGGGGCCACGTGCGCGGGGGGGGGGCGGCCCCGCGCCGCCGCCGCGCGTTTAAATGTCCCGCCGGGCGCGGCGCGCGCTGCGCGCACGGAGCGGAGCGGCCGCGCCGTGAGGGGCAGGAGGCGCCCGGCGGAGCCCGCCCGCCCCGCGCTCCCGCCTCGCCCTGCCCCGCCGGCTCACCCCCCGCACCCGCCGACCACCCGCCGACGCACCCGCTTCCTCCGGCCGGGAAAGGGGCCGACGCGGCGGTGAGTGAGCGCAGCGCGGGCGGGCGGGGGGAGCCGGCGGGGCCGGCCCGTTCCGCGCCTCCGCCACCCTTTGTGGGCTCCGCGTCCCGCCCCGGCCGGGCCCGGAGGGCACCATGCGCCGGCAGAGGTGAGTGTGCCGGGCCGGGCCCTGCGGGCCGAGCGCCCCGCGGGCACCCCCGCGAGGATTCCGCGGCCGCTCAGCTCCCCCTCTCTCGGCAGTGACCGCGCGGACGAGAAGGGCCCCGCCAGGGCGGACGGCGGTGGGGACGGGGCCATGCGAGCCCGCAAGAGAAAAGCTGATGTGGCCACGGTGAGTGCGGGCCCGGCCCGCTGCCCATGGCTGCGCCCGGGCCCTCGCCGCCTTTTGTTGGGGTGCGGGGCCATTCACCGCGCTGGGGGTGCGGGGATGTGCCCCTGGGGGACCAACAGCTGCTGGTCCCGCGGTTTGTGCTCCGGAAATTATATACTGCTTTTTGTAGTTCTTACAGGATCCCGATGAAGAAATTGCCAAGATGGAGCTGACTAGAAAAAAGCAGTGTGCAAACCAGGTAATTGATTTGGCTTCTGGTAATCTTATTTAGCCCTGTTATTGTTTTGCAGTGCCTCGTTATTATTGCAGACGTGGTGAAACATGTACGCAGCTGCCACATGGTGCATAGCAGTGGGCAAGGGGGACTGTAGGCCCTGGTGATGGAGCCTGCAAAACACTTCAGCTCATGCACGTTGCTTTGGAGTCTTTGCAAGAGACAAGGCCTGGTGTGTTGGTCTGAAACATGATAATACTTAGGTATGTTTAAATGTCCTGGGATTGCAAGGGTGCACTTGAGAGAAGTCTTTTTATGCATTTAGGCCTACTCTGCCCTGACTTCTCTAGAGAGTTGGAAAAGTACAGTGGTTCTCATATAGCTTGCTGGCCGAACAGGAGACACTTAAGCACGTAAACAGAATCATCTCTTGAGATGGTTTTCTTTGCAGTCACTTTGTCACCTGGCAGAGTGAAGATTCCCATTGACAGGGGTCATTATACTGACAAAGTTCCTGATTAGAACTTTGAAGTGTATACTAGGTGCTAATGACATGGTAAAATAAGCTTCATTTCTCTGTAGAATGAAGGGATAATTTCTGTAAAGTCACCGGGAAAATCAATCCTGCAGTGGAGGTTGATAATGACCATTGCCAGTTCTCTCAGTAAAACACTTGGAATGATCTGAGTTATGAACTGAAAACTACCTTTAGGGGTGTCCTCTAGTTCCTTTTATGTTCTTTCTGTACTCTTCAAAGCAGAGATGCTTTTGGTATCTGTCTTGCATGCCACGTTGGTGTGTGGTATTGAAAGCATGTACGTTGAGATGCCCACTCTAAATAAAACAGAGTAGCCTGTGTTCTGGAACAGGTTTATTCGTTTATTCCCCTCCTTTTTTTTTGTCTGCATGCACACACAGGCTCGCTCAGTCACTGTCACTGAGACTTCAGCCCGTCACTGCACACACAGGGTGATACTTAAGTTGCAAAAGTCAGGACCGGGGTGTGCAGGCTGCACTCATTTGGTACGTGAGGCTGTGCATAATGTGGCACATCTAACCAGAAGTGGCAGCTGGAAGTTCTAAGACTGAAGTGGTACCATAACAGATGGGCATCATTGTTTGGAATGGCCTCTGCTTGTTGCAACTGCGTACACTAGTTATCAGTCAACATATTAAGCAGGGCTCAAATGGTGAGCATTTAATGAGGGGATCTCTCCTTCCCTTCTGTCTTTCTTTTGCACAGTATATTAAACTAATTTCTCACTTCTGACAAGGAAGAGCTGCCTGTCCTTCACCACAGCTTTCTCCTTCACCAAAAGATTCATTCTGTTTGAGCTCAGCAAGGCCTTCTAGGGCATATTTATTGCATAATAATAAGGTAGCATTGAAAAAATCTCAAGAGGGACTCAATTTTACCTTTTTCCTGAAAGACAGTGAAAAGCAACTTGAAATATGTTTTGCATACATTGACCTTCCACTTTGAAAGTAGATAAAGATTTCCAATTTTGTCTTCTTGTTTGTGTCCTTGGCTTGGTAGCCATTTAGTGATACTTCAGGAGTGATAGGTAAGCTAAAATTTATATAATTTAGGTGGTAGGCATTAAAAATGTTTACTTGGGAATTTTTTGAGTTAACCATAGGATGCTGGTGGGATTTGACCCCTTGATTCTGTAAACCATAAATAATACGGGTATCTGTGTATCTTTCTCTTCATAGAGAAGGGGTTTTTTTTGTTGTGACAAAGTAGCCAGATTGTTACAGATCTGGTTAAAAAAGCTAACATTTGGCTGCACAGCAGCAGCTCTTCAGTCTATGGTGTGACACAAGCTATTCTCTGATATAAATTGCCATGGACCACTAATGAGAATATGTTTACGGTTCCAGCAGCAGTATAGCAGGCTTGTATGATAGCCAGGGTGATAGTTATTCTGTTGAGACATGACAATTCTAAAATGCAAGCAGCTATAAATCCACTGCAGCCCATACCACATGACTTGTACATTAAATAAATTGTTTACTGACACTAGTTTATCCACAAAGCAAAATATCATGGTCACATCCCACTTTATGACATCTTCATAGTCAATTCATTAGTTTGCTTCTGTGGAACATAAGGCCTGAGTTCTTAATTAGGATGCTGTTACCCTTTATGTGATGAAGGGTGGCTATATCATCAGGTCTGTGACAGCAGAATATTGCATAAATTCTGTGTTTGATTTTAGAGAACTAGCACTGCTGTAATTCTGCTAGCAATTCTCATATTAATTCTGGCTGCTTTCTGTGGATGAGTACACTTCCAAGGCTCCATGTAAAACAAAATTCATCTAACTAGATTAGTCTGTGCACTTGCGATACAACTTACATGGCCACCTCCATCTAAAGTAGAGAATTGAATCTGGAAGTTAGTTTGTTTAGATGAAACCAACTAATGTTTTCATGTGTAAAGGTGGAGTAATAGGAAATAGTGTTGATCAGTTTCTCACTAAATATTTTTCGGAATCTGATCTCAGTGTTGTCAAAATACTCCATCCAACTGGTTTGAAAGTATCTTTGACTAATGCATATTAACTTTAGAAGATCCAATTTAAAAAAACAAAACTTGCAGACAAACAGCTTACAAGTCTTCAGACAAACAAATAAAGAATGTAAATACCCAGGCTGAGAGCTTGACTTGAGCCTAATCTGAGTCAGGACAATATTGTAGTAGAAGTTCCTGTGCCATTGAGAAAGAATTAGAACAACTTAATAATGTCAGTTGCTCTTCTCTCTCCTGTTTATTAATTCTGGAATCCCTTTCCGATGGCAGAGAAAAACCCAATACTTCAAACTAATGCATCCTGTGAGTGAAAAATGACTGGAATTGTAGGTCTTACTATTTCTGATGGGCAAACTAGGGCTGTGGTCTAGTGATCGATACAGATGTCTCTGTTACAAGGTGCTGCTTTTAGGGTGAGATAAACAGGCCTGTCCATCTCCTGTTCCCCTGCCTTTGATTTTCATGCTGAAAATCCTCTGACTTAGCTGTTTGAATTCAGTTCTGAGTCATCCTCTTCCTCTTCTGCTGCCCTCCTTGACCTGGATCTGTGGAAGCTGCTTCTGGTGGCTCCTGGCTCACATTGAGACACACGAGTGTCTCAGCAGCTTGTGTTCTTACAGTGGTTTCTTCACTGAAGGCTCTGCCTGGCCTGTAAGCAATGACCCCAGTGGTCATGACCTGCTCTGTTTTGTGTCTGTCCTATATCCTGAAGGTTGCTCCTAAGATGTGTTTCTATGAATGTTTGATGTATCAGTGAATGGTGACATGCTGCAGAAAACTGAGGCCTGGTAATGTTTGAGCTTTAAAAAAACTTACTACTGAACTCTCACGTCTTTGTTGTTTAGAGCTGTATGGGCTTTACTGCTCTGATGGACTTCATGTCACCTACCTTCTGCCCTTCTTGGTGCTCCTTCTCCTGAGGAGCCTTCTCATGTGCTCAGTTTAATTTCTCCAACCTGTATCTCCGATTAATTGTTTCTGTATCTGGAATATTAGTGTGAGTGTCACCAAGCTTTCCTGCTGGGCTCCATATAGATTTGAAGAGTCACTTGTCCCCACTGATTTTTTTGCTTGCATCCTACTTCAGCTCCTGTTTGCCTCAGAAATAAGCCCAGGACTTTAGTATTTCCTCTGTTAGGCTGCACAGACTCTTGGTAACATCTTTGCTTTCTGACGGGTCCCTGCTTTCAAATTGGCTCTGTGCAAGCCTAGAGGAAGTTCTTCGTGGTTTCCTTACACCCTCTCCATCTTAAATTGTTTCTTTTTTTCAGTGGTGGCTCCTATTTCCTTACAGTTACGGTGTGATGTAATGCAGTTTCTTGGTATCATGTTTTTCACTTTTGATTGAATGTCTTGCTAAATCTGCTTCGGAGGCTCAAGAGTCTGATAATGCTTGTTCCCTCAACCATAATCTGTGCCAGAGTTATGGTGTTCCTTCACCTACACTAATTCAGACTCCTGTCACCCTCCCCAGTAGCCTCTTTCTTTTGAGGGCCCTGTACATTAGTTTACTTATTGTCTCTAGCTAAGCTATATACTTTTTGTGTATATAGCATTTTTTCCCTGGTTGTCTTGTAAAGTGACATTATGTAGTCAAAAACTTGGTTTTCCCCTTCTTCTCATAACACCTAAAAGGCTCTTGACCTTTACTTCTGTTTCATTGTAGAAGATTGAGGGTGGTGAAATCTTTTCAGTAACTGTTGTTGTATGTGGTGTGTGAGGTGTCAGCCTTGAGAACTTTGTGGAGCAGATCTCCGGTCCTTCAGAAGCTGCTGGTGTAGTAGGCACCTTTAAATAGATACTATACAATATACTGCTTTTCTGTTGGTTTGCTGATTAACTGATAAGACAGCACTTCTGCAAAGGCTGTTGGCAGCTGGGCTTGCTGTGCAATTCGGAGAACAAAATGTGACTAAAGTCTACTTAGGAGGGAGGACAAAAATTAACTTAAAGCAATGCTGATATGACACTTTGATTCAAATTTTCTGTTTGTAAGGAGTCTGTAATTTTTAATATAAAGATTCTATTCCCTCTTCTTGCCTTCCCCCACTCAGATTCAATTGTGGCATGGCTGGGTTTGCATGCAGAACTCTAAGAAGAAAAAGGACTGATCTGTGTGTCAGTAACTCAAAGTACAAAGCAGCCCTAGCTGTGAGCAAACTGTGAAATGTGGTTTTGGTTTCATAAAGCCAGTGGTTTCTGTTTTTGAAGCTGGTGCAGGAGGTGGCCATTTTGCTGGAAAGTGATGTCATTTGTAGGAAGGACAGGGCAAGAATCAAGTGTGGAAGCTTCTATGTGAGAGGCAAAGTTTCATGTAGTATTTTGCTTGTTAGCACCTAATGATTCTTCTGATTTTTTTTTTTAATTTTTTAAAAGCACATTAGAAATCTTGTCAGGGAGTTCTGTCCTTTTAGTGGTGCAGAACAGATCAGTTTGCAGCAAAATGGCTGACCTCACTGTTTAGCAGAAATGCCAGATTTTAATTTGCTTAGGCATGATGACATGGTGCTGGCTTTGTATTCTACTGCAAATAAAACCAGTAGTATTTTCCCGGGGAACTGCGTGACGTGTACAACTGGATCTTGTTTGAGTTAGGCAGGAGAAAAAGCAAACCTAAACTTAAGTTTTAGTCCAAATAAAAGGACATGGCAGGTGAAGAGTTGGATGTCTGTTTGCAGACCTTAGCAGAATTCTGCGTATGAAATTGTCAACTTGATAGTTTAGTGGCAATTGCTTAACATGCACTTTCTTTATTCTGAAAACAGTCGGATCATAAGTGCTTTGGTCTTTTATTTTAACACTGCTAGATGAATAAGTAAGAAATTCTATAAACTACTATTTTTCTGTGTTCACTGTCTGAGATGGTTTACATGTAACTGTGATTTCAGGCATCCTATCTACATGTTCCTTACCAGAAATCCCAACCTCACATTTGGGTCTTAAAGTTCCATCTGCTTGTTCTTTAACTGAGGGCAAGTATGTTTTTTGTAAAAACAAAATGCAGCATGACAATAGGAGACTCTGACTTGGATATTCTTCCATGAAACAGTTGTGGTCCTTGAAAAGGAGAGCAGGGTAAATGTTCTTCAGCTTTAGTTGCAAACTTTCTCTACTCTAAGCAACACCCAGCTACTCAGCAGTGGAGAGGCCACACCTGTAGTGCTGTGTCCAGTTCTGAGCTCCTCAGTACAAGAGAGACTGGAACATACTGGGAAGAGTCCAGAAAAGGCCCACTAAGATGAGTCAGGAACCAGAGCACCTTTCCTCTAAGGAAGACTGGGAGAGCTAGGACTGTTCAGCCTAGAGAAAAAAGGCTTATGGAGGTTGTATCAATTGTATATAAATATTTGAAGGGAGGATGTAAAGAAGATGGAGCCAGGCTCTTTTCAGTGATGGGACAAGAGGAGGTGGACACAAACTGAAGCACAGGAGGTTCCCTCTGAACATCACGGAACACTTTTTACTGTGAGGGTGACCAAGCATTGGCACAGATTGCCCAGAGAAGTTGGGGAGTCTCCATCCTTGGAGATGCCCAGGACCATGTACAGAAGGCTTTTGAGTAACTGGCTCTTGGTGACCCTGCTTGAGCAGGGGGGTTGGACAAAATGAGCTCCAGAGGGACTTTGCAGCCTCTACCATTCTGTGATTCTATGCAATTTAAAGAGGTAATCATAGTGCTTGTCATAGTTTCATACCAATGTCTTTTCTTCTACTTACAACTAAAATTAGTATCTAAAAATGCACAGTGTCAAATCTTCTATTTCATTTATTAGATGTCCTGGAATAACATTCACGAGAATATCCATATGCTAATTCCTACTCCGGATAAAGATGATGATCCAGTTAGCCTTGATTACTCTCGCTTTGTACATCTGAGTGCTGTTCCAACCAGAGCCACCCCATTACCAGCTCTAGGGTAAGTGTGCTGCTTTCTGCTGCTGCTCTACCTTCCTCTTGTCTGATGATTCAAGACTAAACCTTGATCTATCTTAGCTGGGCAAACAGGGACGACGTATGGAAAAACATGATAAACAAAGAAGAGACCTATGTGAGAGATAAACTTTATCTGCAAAGGCATCCTCAGCTACAACCTAAAATGAGGACAATCCTTCTAGACTGGCTAATGGAGGTAAGCTTTCCTGTGGTTGTGAGTGTTTCAAGTGTGCTTTTGTTGAAGTGCACTAATAACTGTCACGAGTGCACTTCACGATCTTTGCGTTTAGCTCCAGATACTTGTATTCATCTTAAATTTTGTCAATAAATTGCACCAAACTTAAAGAGTATATGATGTATTGAGTTGGTTTGCAAACTGACAATATATTCTGTTATTCATTTAGATTGATAGTGGATAATAATCAATTTTTGCCTAACACACTGTAAGCTTCTTAAGGTCATGCTGCAGATAAAAGTTGGACAAATGATTGTGAAAGTCACTGTAAGAACGAAGGTGGGGTAGGTTAGAGATCATCTCACAACCTTTTTATCGGTTTTTGACATGTGGAATGTGCTACACCTCCTCTCTGTGTGACTCTTTTTTGCTGTCTGGATGACTTGGTGGCATCATCTCTTACTTCTAAAGTACTCTGAGAATTTTCTCTTTTGAAATGTTAGAAAGATGCATCTTTGCAAAAAATGAGGAAATAATGTTCTGACATTGTTGGAACATGTGCTTGCATTTCCTAAAAGGGTTTTCTCTATGATCTATTTTTTTTTCTTGCAAGTTTCTGTAGTGGCACTCATCTTTATCCAAAGGAAACTGTTTAACTCATGCTCTTAGTTAACATGTTACTTCACAATAGCAGTGAAGCAAAAAACCAGTATGAATTTTATGTCTATCGTCCTTTTTTTTTAATACATCTGTAGCATCTGTTTTTGACTCTTTAACACTCCTCTTGACCTTTGCAATCTCTGTTGTCTCTCCAGGTTTGTGAAGCCTACAAGCTTCATAGAGAAACTTTTTATTTAGCACAAGATTTCTTTGATCGGTTTATGGCAACGCAACAGGATGTTGTAAAAACACTATTGCAGCTTATTGGTGTCACTTCTTTATTCATAGCAGCAAAGCTTGAGGTAAGTATCTCCAGCTTTACTCGCACATAAAAATGTGGATGCACACACAGCACACTCATTGTACACTAGGCATGTTTCGGCAGATTTTATGGAGTTTGTTGCTATGTCTTTTTAAGCTGAGGGATAGGAAAAAAAGACCTTTATTTTCAACACTCCTGTTTTTTTAGGAGTGGGTAAAATTATATTGTGATGTTAGCTAGTTTTATCTCATTAGAGAATTCAGTGCTAGAATAAAGTTTTGACTGCTGTTGCTAGATGAATTTTTAACTGGCTGCTGTATACAGAGACCACTTGTTGCAGTTCTGTTGTCAGTAGAATACCTACTGCATGGTAGTCTGAGCTATTTTTTAGTTACTGGAACAAATTGAACTATTAAAATACACAGTGCTTTTCAGGTTCTTACTGTTAGTCATTTAGGAGATCTATTCTTCAATCTACTCTTCTCAAGCAAGAGATAAAAGGCCTTTTCTTCAGGATGTTTAAAAAAATCTGGATGTCAGTTACGATACAGTCACAGTGGTGCTGTAGTCAAGCATAATGCAGGTTGTACTGATCCATCCAAAGTGAAAGTTGAAGGGTATGATGAACAAAAAATCTGTGTCTATTAAAGGTAGAAGAGAACATCAGGATTAGGAAATGGCAGGTGGTTCTTTCCCATCCCCTGCTCTCTTCTGAAAGGTTGAAGCAGTGGTGGGCTGTTCTTTTTATTTCTTTTTTAATTTTTTTTTTAATTTAAGATGAGACTAGTTACAACCTATGCCGCAAATTAGATACATGATCTCCTGTCTTCCAGGAAATTTATCCACCAAAGTTGCACCAGTTTGCCTATGTTACAGATGGAGCCTGTACAGAAGATGAAATCATCAGTATGGAGTTGATTATTATGAAGGTACTATTTAAAAGTGGAATTAGTTCCACTTCAGTTTTTAAAATGTATAGCATGATCAGACTAAAAGCAGAGCACCTCAGTTAATGTTATGTGGCGCTAAGAGGTACAGTTTCTCTTATTCATTAGAAAAGTGTTTTCTCTAGGTAACAAGTGATCCAAAGTATCCTCTGGTATGTGTGTATTAACAAAATGATTTGATCCCTGACCCTGTCAGCAGGAAGAGGTACAGGAGAGGATTTGATTAGTGTGTTTCAAAGATCCCTTAACCTACTGGGATTAGAGCTTCTTATCTAGAGTATACAAAGTTGCATGGTTTAAGTTAGGAGCTCTTTATTGACACTGAAGTCTTGTGTATGTCTACTCTTTCAGGCTCTTAACTGGAACTTAAATCCACTGACAGTTGTATCGTGGCTAAACGTTTACATGCAAGTTGCATATTTAAACGAGCTTTACGAGGTAATGCTGCCACAATATCCTCAGCAAATATTTGTACAAATAACAGAGGTGAGACTGATTTCCTTCAAATGCTGCTTCACCTGGAAAAAAGTGTTCTTGTGCTATGCTCATTAAACATCTATTGTCTTGTAGCTCTTGGATCTCTGTGTGCTGGATATTGGCTGCTTGGAATATACATATGGAATACTTGCAGCTTCTGCTTTGTATCACTTCTCTTCATCTGAGCTGATGCAGAAGGTTTCAGGTACTGGCATTTATAAACTATGTCTGATGTACTGACAAACATTATGTCTTCCTTCAGGCAGATAAGCATGTGCCTTGTCTTCCAGGCTATGAATTCTGTGAGATAGAGGAATGCGTGAAATGGATGGTCCCGTTTGCGATGGCTCTGAGGGAAGTAGGAAGCTCCAAACTCAAACACTTTAGCGGAATAGCTCCCGAAGATTTGCACAATATACAGACGCACATAAACAGCTTTGATTTGCTGGTATGGATGATCATGATGGGGACAAAATCTGTCTGTGAAATCTCTGAAGTCTTGTTTCTTCTTTGGTTAGAACATACAGTAAACTTAAGTGAAGTATTATCAGATTGATGCTGAGTGTATTTGGATGATAAAAGGCATAAGGTTGTACTCCAGTTCCAAATTTCTTGGGACAGAGACTTGTCTTGGGACTGACCTGTTCAGTATTTAGTTTAAAAAGAGGATTGTGATTTCAGCCTCTCATCTGAAATGTCAGATAATTACCCTGGAAATCAGAAACATATTTCTACCCTTTAGGATATTTTAAATACCATGTGTTAGACCCTTCTCTATAGGAAATACGGATAATCCAATCTTCTCTGATAAAGAGAAGAATAAAGACTGATCACTTGAGACTGATCTTGTGGGAATGTTGTGCGACAGTGGTAGTTGACAAGCAGTTGAGCAAGAGTGGTTTTTCGTGTGAGAAACTTGCAGAGGATCAAAATCTTGTCCAACAAATTGTGGTTAATCTTAGCTGTTGCAACTGTTTTTCTCATTGGATTCTTTAATTGTAGTAGAAGTTAAAGTTCGTCCTGTTCAGTTTCTGGATTTTGCTTCCTTGAAGGTACCAGAATGTTTGTATCTTATGAATACCTAATGCTAATCATCAGATTCCAAAAGTTAATAATGATCTCTTTGAGTTGTACTACAAGACAACTACAAGTCACTATTTTGTACTATATATGATTTATCAGTTACTGTTAGGGGGGTTGTTACAAACAAATGCGTTTCCAGATGGGCAGTCTATCAAGTTATGAAACACTGAATTATGTTGATCTGTTGCATAGACATACCAAAGTAAAGATTTCTTTTTCTCTTTTTCCTGTACTTTCAGGACAGAGCTCAAGCAAAACAAGCCATATTGGCTGAGCAAAATAGGACTTCACCTTTCCCTACTGGTGTCCTTACACCACCACAAAGTAGTAAGAAACTGTCTTCTGGACTACCATCAGTATGACTTTAGAAACTGTTGACAAACAGTTTTGCTGAAGTGCCTGTTCTGCTGGTTTTCACTCCTGCTCCATTACAGAAATGCTGCCAGTGAAGTTCATAAGCTTTCATGGAATCTGAAAAGGAAACCTTGCTTTCATGTGACAGAAGAGTCTCTCTATTTGAAATAGTTTTATTGAATGTTAAAATATTTTTAAAGAGATGGATCAAGTACACCAGCCACTTGAAAGAACACCGAAGTGTGCTCCAGATGCTGCTACGGAGGGTGATGCTTGATCAACCGTTCAGAAAAAGGGCTTGAAGTTTAAATTAGTTCCTGTCCCAGGTTGTCCTTTGGGTAATCTGTCCCCTGGTGACAAATGGGCAAAAAATGCTGTGGAAGACAACATTTCAAAGCCTCTTTTTTGAATGGCTGGCTTACAACTTGATGCCTTTTAAAAAACTTTTTATTGTAAAAGCTGCTATGTGTCTGTGTATTCATTTTTAATAAAAATGCTGTCTAAGACAGCTGATTTTATGTATACTTTTATTTTTCTTTTAATTATGATCAGCTAAGGTTTTTTCAGACTGTGACCACTAATAGTCTGGGAGTTGGGGATGAATACTGTGGTAACTATTGTTTTATTTATTTACCGCTATTGGCTTATCAATTGAAACTTTCGTTTTGGATACTAAGGTAAAATTGTCATGTTGGGCTACTTGGATTTTTACTAGCCAGATGCAAGAGGCTAGGGAGGGGATAATAAACATGACAAGTATATGGGGAATCCTTCCACAACACACTTGTAGTCATCAGCGTATTGGGAAATTCTTGAATCATTGTCTGGCTTCGTTACCCTTTTGTGATGGTTAGTGAGAGGTGACCAGCAGGAAGAGTCTACCTCTTAAACATAATTATTTAAACATTGGGATTTTGGCATAGTATCTGTGAAAATAATCATAATCATCTGTGCAAAATGAAATTCTGGAGAGCTGTGTGCCTTTTTTACAGGAAGGTCCTTGACCTTTGCAATGTCTGAGAACCTCAGAAGTCCTAGCAGGACATTGTCTGGAAAGCCATGGTTCTGGAGAAGAGGGGAATACAGAAATAAATGGTTGCCTGTTTTTTCTTGTTGTGTTTGCTTTGAAGGACTGTTCAACAACACTTAAAGCTGTTATGAGACTACCAGGATTCATCATGACCTGCTGCAGATAACTTAGGTGCTACAACACTTAATACTTCAGGAAGCTCCTACTCTGTGGGTTAGTTTTTCTAAACATTAGTTCCCAGCAAGCCTGCTTTTTATTATATTTTTGTTATTCTCCTTCTTTCTCTTCCCTGACCCAATATTCTGATAAATGTTAAAGCTTTAATGTAATAAAAATGCCTATGGTAACTAATGGTAAGCAAATTATTTGGTGCTGCTGGCTTTTTTTTTTTTTCCTTGCAATGAATGGTTGTAAGTTCTGTGCTAACAAAGCAAGTGTAAATGTGAGCTGAACAAGTATGCTCGTTAGGGTTTAATTTCTCAGAATTACATGTCCTAGACAAGGAAATGTATTTGTCAATTATTGAAAAAGTTTTTAATACTGAAGGACTTGTCAAGACACATTTTGGTACTTTGTCCTTAAATTTAGAACACAAAATAGGGGTGGGTGGGGGAAACAATGACCCTCCTGAAAGGTAGTCTCTAGGTTTAATTCCTAAATCACCAGGCAAGGTTCAGTACTAGTCCTTTTGCTGTCACTTTAAAGTTCTTGGTCCCTTTCATCTGTTTCACCAAAAAAAGTGGAATTGTAACTGGCAGACTAAAAATGAGGATTGCATTTTTAACTTTTAAGAAAGTATTCTGTAGTAATGTTACAGATATGGTGAACTCTAACTTCCTGTTTATGCTAAATATTAACTATGGTTAATACCTGTGCAAGAGTGAATGCAGGTGTTCCATGTGTTCTCTGGGCTGTGTGGGAAATCAGGATCTGAGATACATAGATATATCCATAGGAATGAAACTGTTCAGAAAACAGGCCTCTCTCTAAATTTGATCTCTGCTTCAGAGATCTGGCTAATTTTATAACTCTTTCTTTTCTGAAAGGTTGACTTGCTTTTATTCCTATGGGAAGCAGTCTGTTCCGAGCATGGAGATATGGGATTTGCAGCTTCCCAGGTAAGAGTGCAGTCACGTGCCAGAGATGCAGCACTTTCCATGTGGGGTGACTTACCTTGAGAGCTATTTTCTTACTTTCTCTTTAATCTCATGTTTAAGAATCTCCATTTCTGGTTGTCTTGCAACACACGTGGATGCTGTGTCTGTCTGAGAGTGGTTCTGTCTTTCTACAATAGCTTAAAAAAAATTATGCAGGAGTTACCACAGGCTGAGAAACACTTTAGGGAGGAACAGTGCAGCTGATTATAAGGAAGATAGTTGTCCCTACTGGAAAAAAACAAACAAGAAAAAAACCCAAGCAACTGATCCTGGCCCAGTCTGGCTGGGGGAGGAAAGGGGGCAATTGTGCCTGGCTAGGTAAGAGAAAAGGGTTTGGTATGTTTACAACTGGGCTGAAGTTTGTGCAGCAAAGATGAGCTAATATCAAATGATGTGTTCCTGCAAGCTGTCTCTGACTCCTAAGTGTGTTACCCTGAGAGGTGGGAGGGGGCTCCAAGGGAGGATGGCCCCAGGGTGATGAGGGAGGCTCGATGGCACTGGGCAACCCTGAGAAAGCAATTTAGCTGAGCAGTGCTGCACACTCCAACTGGAAAATGTCTCTCTTTAATAGCTACGGACCAGCATAAAGCATGCTCCAAAGTAAATTGAATTTCCAGTAACCCAGGTGGCATATGATTATCTTCCTCCTCCTGAAAGGTTTGTCGTAACGATGTATCAAACCCTCACCTTGGTCTGAAAGCTGGGGACATTGGAGAAGCTGAACAAGAGAAATGAACCCAGTGCTAATTTTGTATCACTGCTACTATAGAATTGGAAGCTGGTGGTGGCTGTGTCTGTACTGAAGGAAATGGCCCCAAATGAGCGAGCTGAGGCTGCAGCTGGGGAGGAGGAGTGCTGGTGGGCAGAAATGATGGAGGTGTGGCAGTTCCCACTATGAGTCTGCCAGAGACTCTGCTGTTGTACGTGCTGTAGCTACCTAACAGTAGTTCATGGAAATAGTTCTGCATAGCTTGTCTGCTGTAAAGAAAGAAGATGGTCTCCCTCTGGCTGTCTGTCCCTTTCTAGGTCTCAGGTCAGCATCTCCTCTTGGTTGTCAGGAATTACAACACAAGGGGTTTGTAACACCCTTGATTGCATGAGGTGGAGGCAAGCAGCCAGCCCATGGGAGCTGCAGGTCCTGCAGGCTCTCTGGATTTCCCTCCGTTCTTGGGTGCTGTTGTCTTCCTGTTCAGCACAGCTGCCTTCTCTCCCAGCAGCAGCAGCCTGAATTCAGGCTGGGTGGAACACTCCCTTTGACCAGGCTGTGACATTGGACCCTGGGCAAGTTACAGCAGCATCCCCTCCTGGGGGAGGAGTCAGGGCACCTGAAGGTTAGTTTGGGAGTTGCCAAAGGCTACAATGGGCTTTCTGCCAGGTTGTAATGGAAGGAACACCCACTCAGGGCACTGCAAGGTAAAAGTCTTAGCAAATAGTTCGGGGGGTCAATGTGCAGTGCAGCAGGAGATTGGCAAGTGCACAGGTTGACATTGGATGGACCCACTTCACCTTGTTTGTTGGCATAAATCTTCTCCTGTTCTGGGAATTGCTTCCTCTAGGTGTTTAACAACAAGCATTTAAAGCATCAGATTACTCATCCTCATCTTCCAAAACTTCCTCTCCCCTCACAAAAAGGGAGACACCAGCACATACTGTGAAATAACACGGGTTAGCTCAGACCTTGTCTAGCCTTGAATTTGTTGGGGATTAAGGCCATCTCCTCCTTGCTGGCAAGGCCAAGGTCAGCTTGTATTCTCTCTGGGGAGATTTTTTGCTCAGATTTGGCATGTAAATAGGTGATGCAGCTCCATTATGTGCTGCCTGTGGCAGGAACCAACACAGCTCTTCCTCCCTCTTCTGGTCCTCCTGCCTTCACACCAGCCACAGGGTGGGCAGTCAAGGTGGAGTAACTGAGAGGTTTGGGGGTTTTGTTTTATTTTTTTGTGTGTCTCTGAGATGGCAGGACATAACTGTACAAATGTGAGAAGACTTTAATATCTATTCTTTGTTACAACAATTTGTGAAAGTTCTGTGCTTTGAAGTTAAGAGCACAGCACTTGCTTGGCTTAGGATATGTTTGCCTGGAATATAAGAAACAATTAAGTGCAGAGCTTCTTCTGTCTGGTGCCTGTACAGTGAGATGTGCCCCAGACCCTGCTCCTGGGATGGAGGAGAGCAGGTGCCTGACAAGATCTGTCTTTGTCTGAGGGAAAGGATTTTCTTTATCAGCATGTACTCCTGTGATGTCTTATTAGTCTCAAATGTTATATTTCTGCCTTGGCTTTGGCTAGAGAAGGAACTCTTAAATTCCCATGAGCACTGGAAAGAGGAGGAGGTACTGTGTTTATGGACAGTGGCTGTGGAGAGGAAATGGTTCTCTAAATGCACTTAATGTCTTTCTGGCAATATTGCAGTTGGTCTACACTTTGTTTAAAAATAAATATTCAGCCACATATACATTTATACTATAAAGGCAAAATCAAAGGATCAAATGTTTGGGTTTCTTACAAACTGTATATGATAACATTCCTTGAAACTGAAACGATAATGGATTTAATCAAGAGCTAAACAATTTTCCTGACAGAGAAAAACAACAAGCTTAAACTTTTCCTGTAAAATCATGCAGCTAATGGCCACCCCACAGGCATAATTTTCCTGGTGCTAAAAGCATAGCTGGTATATCATATTTTCTTCAATTTGAGGCAGATTATTTTATTTTCAGGAGGTTCAGGGGCCCAAACTTGTGTACAGATGTGAGTTTCTGGAAAGAAACTGTTGATGGCGTAAGGATGCAAAATCCACTGAAGTTGAGAGTGTGAGACTGTAGTTGATCTGTGTGAGCAGGCAGCATACACTGCTCTGGATCTAAGATAGTTGCTTTTTTTCTTAAATTGGGATGGAAGAGGCCTCACGTAGAACTAAAAATAAGTGGCTTGACCGGAAATTAGGCATTCACCACAAAGAGAGTAAAAATGTAATAAAACTGTAGGAACGGGTTTGGGCTCACCCCTCCCAAGGCAAAAAGAGAAGTAGGGACAGCTGTGATTTGCCAGGTTATCGTGTTCAGACTCCAGTTACACGAACTTACCTATGGCGTGCTCTGTGTGTAACCAGGATAAATGGGCTGAGTGTTCTTGGATTGAATCCCAGAGCAGCAACATCAGACAGAGAAGAGTAATACGGTGCTTTATTTTGCAGTTCTGTGTAAGGTGTTTGGATTTATTTTCTTTTCTGAGGGGGGTACTCTACCAAGACACCAGCCTCTGCAGCTCAGCACCTCAGCCCAATTCTTCTGTGTGTTAACAGTTATTGATCATGACAAGAGTTAAAAGATAACCTT